GGTGAGCAAAATCAACTCCCGTCCCCGCTCTTTCTGCGAGGAGGAGACGTGCAGAATTTCACAGTGATGACAACGTCCCAGATTTAGCGCCTGAGTTAACACCTTCTGCCGAAAAGAATCTTCATTAAAAAAAAAAAAAAGCTGCATTTAATTAAAAAAAAAACACAAACCACACACACACCACTCAAGCTATTTTCAGCGCTAAGAGAGGAAACGTAACCTTGGGGGGGGGGGTGTTTGCCGAGCGCTGTGGGAATTACCTGGGGGTCACACACTATTAAGGAGTCGTATTAATAAAAAGCCAACGTATCTTCTTTATCGACATGATTTCAAGATGACAGATGCTGCGGGAGCCAAACATGGTCCCTGGAGCCTGGGCGGGTGGCAGGGCGGAGGCGAGCTCAGCTGCTCGCGCACACGCCGAACGACACTCCGGGGAGCAGACACGGGCTGTGTGTCACCCCTTTCTTTGCCGTTTGGAGAATCACATCACCCAGCTAGGAAATGAAAGATGCAAATTACTTCTAGAACTAAAACACACGGGACGGCCGGGGCCCTGCCGGTGTCTTTTCAGAACACGCCTTGGGAAGGTTTCAGTTTCTCCCTAGAGCGCGGGCAGGTGGAAATCCTGCCTCTGGTCTTAACCGACGCCTAAGTCAAGTCCGACGTCATCGCCGCCGCTCAGATGTCAGGTTTTTCCCTAATCTCGCCAGGGCTTGGAAGCGACATTGAGCGCTGAATTCATTTCTTGGTTCGTGAACTTCATATTCTTGAAGGTGCCGGGCCTATTCTTTCTAAGCCCGGGACAAACCGTCCGTGGCTGCGGGGTCGGGGCAAAACCAGGCCCCGATGTTGAAGGGCCTCTTACGGAAGGCCTGTGGGTGATGAAAACCGAGCTCTGGGGTTTGAAAGCACCTGGGGTTCCCTCGAGGGCCGGCCTGTGCGGTTCCTCTTTAGCGACAAGCATGTTACGTGGGAAAGGGATGGGCTGATGAACCGAAGACAAAAAATAGCTTCATCCCCTCTCGTTTTCACTGGGGCTGGGGGGAGACTGGTCAAAACAGAACTGGTTCTGGTGGGAGATACAAAAAAGCAAAGCGAACATTTCAGGAACCCTCTTCCTGAAAATCACTAGTGAGAGGAAAATTTTAGCAACACCCGAGTAGGGAGTTTCAAGGACATTGGGCGGCCCGGCCGGTGTGGCCCAGTAGGTCGCCGGGTTCAAGTCCGGGTCAGGGCACGTGGGAGGCGGGACCGATGTTTCTCGCTCTTAAAATCAATGAAATAAAAAATAAAGGGTACCGGGCTGTGAAAATTTGTGTTCCTCTGATTCGTGGCATAGGACCCCACAATTCTTTACTCACGGCGGGTTCACTCAGTGTATAAACTCGGGGTTTAGGAAGTTTATTTTTGGGGGGTGACCATCCTGGTCTTAGCACTGATGTTCAATACAATTTCTTCCCCCCGAGGCCGTCAGCAGCTGCTAAAAGGAATCTACATCAGTTTTCTTTTGGTTAAAAAACAAAACCAAAAAATTCTTAATGCGCAAGCATCGTTGTAAACTTAACTCAAATAAAAGAAAAAATTTTACCTATGGTTGTGTCCACCAACATACAGACTGGTTAAACTCTCTCGTTTTCTGTACGCCTGAGACAGTTTATTAAACCTCCCCGTGAGAGCAAAAGATTTTTTTTTTTTTTAAATATATCTTTATTGATTTCAGAGAGAGGAAGGGAGAGGGAGAGAGAGAGAGAAACATCAACGATGAGAGAGCCATTGATCGGCTGCAGCCCGCAACCCGGGCATGTGCCCTGACCGGGAATCGAACCCTAATCGCCTGGATTCTAGGTTGACGCTCAACCGCTGAGCCACGCCCAGCCGGGCGAGCAAAAGATTTTTAAAAATCCCAAAACTGAGGGAGCCGAATCTTCAACGGAAATAATCAAGCTTTCTGCACCTTCCGCCTTTATATCAACCTTAACTATAATTTCTAAACCACTGCTCTCTGTTTTCATAGCTCCTCTCACTCTCCAAAGCAGGGCCTGTGACGAAAACGATTTTTTTTTTTCTTCTTGATGACTGGTGCTTAGGTAACGTTGGGCATTTAGGTGTTAGCCGATGACCGGGGACAAGGGCGGTGGCAATGTGAGGCTGTGCGTCCTGAGAGGGGCCCGGCTGGCCGCCCGCCCCACCCAGACCTGCCCACGTAGCCTGTGCTGTGGCTGCCTCGTCAGCGGGTCCACACGTGTCCTCCCGGCTCTTCAAACTGGAAATCATTCGTGAAGAATCCTCCTACCTGCATCAGGGAGAAAGAATGCTGATCTCAAGGCTGCAGGGTTTTAAGGTTCAGCTGTGTGTGTGTGAAGGTTAGAGGTATTTTTTTTTTTTTCTGGAGGGTGCTTTCCAAACAGTTCCCGGGGTTGTGTAACAGGAGATTCATTTCTGGGGTAACAAAGCTCCCATTGAGAGAGCAGCCCCGGCTCGGGCGTCTGCTGCCCTTGATCTGCCGGAGCAGAGCCTCAGTTCACCCCCCACCGACGTCACACGCAGACGGAGGTGCGCGGGGAAGCTCGGGCGCGGTCTGGGGCAGGCAGGCGGGCGCCCACCCGCGCGGGAGATTGGCAGGCGGGACGCCCGCGGGAGGGTTTTCTGTGTCTTTCCTATTTTCGGCCGCTTTGGAGAGTGTCGAGAAGTTTCTCGAGCAGCAGAAAACAAGGCTTCTCTGCGGTCGGCCCTGCTTGACAAAGGAAGTGGTGTGAATGTGACCCGAATAGGTTGGCGGCAGAAGGTAGTTGGAGAGGAGCCGCGACGGGGCTGGGCAAGGCCGAGCCGGGAGCCCCCTTCCCACTGAGCGTCCACACGGGTGTGTTCCTGGGGGTGCTCTTGGCTAAGCCGCCCTGTCCCTCTATATTCCGGAACACGCCCCGTCCCCTCGCCTTTTTCTCACCTCCTGCGGGGATTGGGAGGAATTTCTGGACATCGTAAGCCTCATAGGTGAGACTTTTCTGGAAAATACAGCTATGAGTCTCCATCTGGCAGGTCCGATCTCCTGGAGAGAAAACACACACACAATGAGCTAGTACCCTGACCATAAATTTGACTTTCTACTTTCCCTTCCTCTTTTTTGTGGTGTTTCCTCCTCAAAGCCACATTTTTAAATTAAACATCTTTTTAATTGATTTTTTTCTTGAGAGAGAGAAACATTGATCAGTTGCCTCCTGCAAGCCCCCTACCGGAGATCAAGTCGGCAACCTGGGCACGTGCCCTGAGCAGGAATCGAACCGACAACCTTTTGGTGCAAGAAACGATGCCCAACCAACCGAGCCACACCGGCCACCTTTTCTGACCAACTCTAACCAGTTCAGAGGAAGATGATTATTAAACGCAATGAATGCTTTTACTTGCAGCTAACATGACACGTGTCCTCTAACTTTCCTCATTTTTTTGACACCTGTGTGCCCTTCGTCACGAGGGGCTAGGAGGAGAGAGGAGGCCAGCAGAGTCCAGGCCAGCGTAAGGCTGCACAGCCCAGACCTTGTGTTCTGCAGACGGAGAAGCAGAGGCATCGTCTTCACACACAAAGCCCATCAGTCAGCCCGCAAGCGTGCCCTGAATGCCTCGCCTGTGTTCAGGGCCGACGGGCTCAGTGTGGTGTGATGCCAGCGTGGTGGATGCCAGCCTGGGAGCCAGGAGACCTGCCAACGACTTGATTTTGGAAAAACAAAACGAAAACTTCCTCTCCCCGGGGGCCACAGTTTCTTACGTGTAAAGTTAGGGGGCTGTAGTGGTTAACCTCAGACTCGGGTTTCTTTCCACTAGAACCGCGGCAGGTTCCGAAGCAGGATGAGTTCCCAGACTCCCGGATCTCCAGCGACTTCCAGGGAGCTGCGGAGACTGAGCGACGACACCCTAAATTACGTCATTTCTGAAAGGGCGCAGGTCGGCCCACCTTGATGTCCAGGTGCCGTCCTCTGAGTGGGCCACGGGCATGGGTCCTGGGTCACGATGATCCAGCCATCCTGGTCTTCTGCTCATTCCTTGAATGTTCCAAGCTAGTCCTGCCTCAGGACCTTTGCACATGCCGGTCTGGCTGCCTCCGGCTACCTACAGGAATGGTGGCTGTTTCGTCCGCTCCTGTCCTGTAGCTCCGCTGAGCTGTCGCCTTCTCCGAGAGGACCACCTTTTACTACTCTCCTAAAGAATGGCCCAAGCCGGGTTCGCTCAGGGGTTAGAGCTTCGGCCCCAGGACTGAAGTGTCCCAGGTTCAACAGCAGCCGAGGGCACAGAGCTGGGTTGCAGGCCCAGCTGGGGGTTGGGGGTGTGCAGGAGGCAACCAACTGGGGTTTGTCTGTCTCTCTCTGTCTCCCCGTCTGCTCCCTCCGGAAAGAAATGGAAAAACATCTCCCGTGAGGCTTAAAACAATAAAAAGAAGGCCTTCCTTCCCCCCTCTCAGGCCTTCCTTCCCTCTCCCAACTTGTCCCCGTGCCACTTGTTTGCTCCCCCTGCCGGCGCGCCCCCCGGAGCAGCGCCCCACAGCCCAGCCCCCGGGAGGCCTCAGGAATCGCAAGGGAGCGATGGGACCCCCGCCCCCGGGCACCTAAGGCCTCCCCGCAAGGCCCCTCCTGGGGCTCAGCCTGGGCCGCACCGACTCCCGTCCTCCGCCCACTTCCTCCGCGTCTGGGAACCAGGAGAGGCTCTTATGACATCACGCCGCCCTCTGCTGCGCCGCAGTGACATCATCGCCGCCGCTCTTGCGTCAC